TTATACTCATAATGCTGACGGTAATGATGATGATGAAGTTACTAGTAATACAAGAATATTAATAATAATGATAACGAAAATAGTGACGATAAAAACAAATATGGAAAACACAAAAAATAATGATATCAAAAAAGGATTTAGAAGGAAATATACGAATGATAAAGACAGATGACGAGAAAGGAAAAAGAACTGGATGATTAAGAATAAGAAAAAAAAGGCAAAAAGGTGAACAGACACACCCGAAGATAATCGCGTAAGAGCAATAAAGGAAAATAATCGCGCCGAACAAGGACATAGATAAGTATGATAAAGAGAGTAATTAAGATAATACGATAATCGTGCGACGGAGCAAGTACATAGATAGGGGCTGATAAAGATAATAAGCAAAGAAGAGCCGCTCCCTCTTTCTGCCGCCGCGCCACGGGAGGGGAAACGAACGCACGGGAATATTTCTCTATTTCTATTATCATCGACTCTTCTTTGTATATTTCTTCGTATACTTCTTTGTATGTTTATTTGTATATTTAATTGTATTTTTATTTGTTTATATATTAGTAGATTCATTTGTATATTTATTTGTATATGTAATTTTATGATGTTCATTTTTTTCAATTTTCAGATTTATGTTTATTCTTTTAACAGAGACGGAAGAATATGAACTAAGAGTGAAGAACAAAAAAAAAGAACAAGAACAGGAGACAATAAAGATAAAACAAAAGAAAATCAAAAGAGAACAGTAATAAGAAATGATTAAGAATATGAAAAAAACAAGAGATAAAAAAAAGAAAGATAACAAACCAGAATAAGTAAATAAATAAATAAATAAATAAATAAATAATAATAATCATAAAAAAACAAGAGAGAAAAGGAGAGAACAAAATAGAACAGGCTAACTGGAAGAAGAACATTAACAAGGGATAAAAAAAAAGATAACAAACCAGAATAAGTAAAATAAATAAATAAATAAATAAATAAATAATAATAATAATCATAAAAAAACAAGAGAGAAAAGGAGAGAACAAAATAGAACAGGCTAACTGAAAGAAGAACTTTAACACGAATTAAAGCCGGCAGCTCACGCGCGGGAAAGAACGACGCTGGTGATGAATAAACATTATTATCAATATTGTCGTTGTCAGTATTCATCATTTTTATTGCTATTTGTATTAGGAGTTGTAGTTGTAGTTGTAGTAGGGCTGGTGGTAGTAGTAATAGTAGTAGTAGTAGGAGGCGGAGTACTAGTAGTAGTATAGTAATAGCAGTAATGATAACAGTAGTAGTAGTAGTAATAGCAATAGTAATAGTATAGTAATAATAGTAATGGTATTTGCAGTAGCAGTGGTAGTAGTAGTAGTTAGTTGTAATAGTTAATAGTAATAGTAGTAATAGTCATAGCAATAGAAGTAGTAGTAGTAGTAGTAGTAGTAATAGTATAGTAATTGTAGTAACGGTATAATTACTATCGCTTTTATCATCATTGCCATAAAGTATTCAAATGGCAGTGGCAACAATGCCCCCAACGAACTAATAGCCAAAACACTCATCCCGGAAACGAGATAAATAAACAAATAATTCAGAGAAAGATTTAAAAAAAAAAAAAAAAAAAAGTTCAAATTTCCCGCCAAATTCCGCCCTCGCGCCGGCCCTCCTTCACCCCGGTTATTATTTTCACCGTAAATGTTCTTCTTTTGTCTCTTCTCCTATTATTGTCACCCTCCCTTTGTATACACGTATGAAAAGGAAAGTAATTCGAACTTCCGAATGAATAAGGAAGTGGTGAAAAAGAAGGAGGAGAGAAAATTGTGTCCTGCGTTATCTTCACGGGGATCAACATAGCCTCTGCGTGTCCTCGTTGTTGCATTAAATGGCTGTGTTAACTTATTGATTTGTCTTCCTGTTATATGAGAGACGTGGCGATTTTTTTATGTGTTATTTGTTTGTCTATTTGTTTGTGTTTGTATGCGAGTGTGTGTGTGTGTGTGTGTGTGTGTGTGTGTGTGTGTGTGTGTGTGTGTGTGTGTGTGTGTGTGTGTGTGTGTGTGTGTGTGTGTGTGTGTGTGTGTGTGTGTGTGTGTGTGTGTGTGTGTGTGTGTGTGTGTGTGTGTGTGTGTGTGTGTGTGTGTGTGTCTGTGATCTGTATACATGTGCGTTTCCCTATACATACACACCTACACAGCGTATTTTTCTCCTAAAGCGAAAACAAATTTGAAAAAGCAAAAACAACACATTAAAACACATTACTCTAATATTGGAGAGAGAGAGAGAGAGAGAGAGAGAGAGAGAGAGAGAGAGAGAGAGAGAGAGAGAGAGAGAGGAGAGAGAGAGAGAGAGAGAGAGAGAGAGAGAGAGAGAGAGAGAGAGAGAGAGAGAGAGAGAGAGAGAGAGAGAGAGAGAGAGAGAGAGAGAGAGAGAGAGAGAGAGAGAGAGAGAGAGAGAGAGAGAGAGAGAGAGAGAGAGAGAGAGAGAGAGAGAGACAGAGAGAGAGAGAGAGAGAGAGAGAGATTAATCCATTCCTTTCCCCTTCCTTTCTCTCCCTCTCCCTCTGCCTTTCTCTCCCTCGCTGACTGGGGAAGCGTATAATCCGAACACGGGAAACGGATGCGGTCGAGAGCAAGCCAAGGCAAGCCGAGGTAAGCCGAGGCAAGCCAAGGCAAGCTGAGTCAAGCCGAGGCAAGCCAAGGCAAGCCGAGGTAAGCCGAGGCAAGCCAAGGCAAGCCGAGGTAAGCCGAGGCAAGCCAAGGCAAGCCGAGGCAAGCCAAGGCAAGCTGAGTCAAGCCGAGGCAAGCCGAGACAAGCCAATGCAAGCCGGGGCAAGCCAAAGCAAACTTAGGCAACCGACGCCTGGCCTCTGAAAAATGCCAAGAATTCCCGACCAACCTTTGCATAACGAGTTTCTAGCTAGTTAGAAGTTATTAGAGTCGTTTCCCGTCCTAATAGCACTATCGTATCTACATCATTATAATGGTGTTGTTATTTTTTTGTGTTGCTGTTGTTGTTTTTTTCTTTCCCTCTAGAGTATTTTCTTCCATTATCGTGAATTAACCTAATCTTGTTTCTGAGCGCTTTCCGTTCCGAGAGTTGAAAGGTTTGTTAACGATTTTTTTTAGAAATTATGTTACTGAGCCATTTTCTACTTTTTTTTTTAACCTTTTTCTTTCCGCATTTTTTATTTACCGCATTATTACATACATTATATCTGGGCGTTCTCGTTAGCTCGGGGGGGGGGAAAAAAAGAAAAGAAAAAAAAAATCTCAGTAATAATATTCTCTAAATCATGTAACTAAACCTTAAAAAAGAAAAAAAATATATAAACACCATATTTTTGGCCGTTTTCGTTGCCTTGGTATAGAGAAAAGGAGAATATTATAGTGATTGGCGAACAGTACTCGACGCCCTCTAGCAACGGCCGCTAACAAGCCTTCGACAAGCGCCTGCGAGAGAGACTTGTCAGATACATGCTGAATTGCAACGGCTGCCTCGTGCAATCTCTTCAACGCGCCTTCCACTAATCAAGGCGAGAGATTAGGGAGGCCAATCTTCTCCATTCATCTCACAACTATATAATTTCCGATCGTAATCGCTCGGCTGTTGGCCCTATAATTCCGTTTTACAAGGCGTCCTCCCTCCTCTTCTTCTTCCTCTTCCTCTTCCTCTTCTTCTTCCTCTTCCTCTTCCTCTTCCTCCCCCTCCCCCTCCCCTCCTCCTTCTCCTCCTTCTCCTCCTTCTCCTCCTCGTCCTCTTCACCTTCCCTTCTCTCTTCCTTTCTCAACCTTACCTATGTTGTGTTTTTCTTCATTTTCTTCCCCTTTCCCTCCTTCCTCTCTTCTCTCTTTTCCCTGTCTCCGTTTTCTCTCCTTTCCCTATCTCCTTTTATTTCCCCTCCACCCATTTCCCAGCCCTTCCTCTCTTCCTTCCCCTCTATCATTCCTCTATTGCCTCCTTTGCCTTCCCTCTTTCTCTCTATCTCTCTCTCCCTCCTCCTCCCCCCTTGCCCCCCCGTTCCCTCCTCCCTCCCCCTCCTTTTCCCGGCTTTACTCACGAGCTCCAATTAATTCAGAATAACCTGGCCCGATCACCTGCAACCTCCGTCGTGCAGTTGGCAACGCGGGCCACCCGATTGTAAACAAACATGCGTAAAGTGTTTGCTGTCGCCGCCCTCGCGCTTGTTATTGTACCGGCCCTGTTACGCTCAATGGATTGTTGCCTTTTGATATGATTTTCTATACTTCGCCCGCTGGCTCGATGTAAAGATGGAAACTCTTGTTTTTCTTCCAGTCTCTTAAGAACCTGAGGAGCGTGGTATTGTGCTCAGTGTAGATCCTGTTGTTTCGGTACGTGTGTTTATAATTCTTTTTTTTTTTTAACGATCTCGTAAATAAAGAGATATAATCTTTAAAAAAGATTGGCGTTACGTATACATTCAACATTAAGAGAGTGAATGTAAAGGCAGTATATCATAGCAATAGATGAATTGGTAGTAGTTGCGTAGCGCTTGTGATACTTCGAATAAACACGTTACTTCAGTTATTAGTAATGTTACCATCAACAATAACAACAGAAGCAACTTTAATAGTGGAATAGCAGTTGCAGTAGTTGCAGCTGTAACAGGAAAAAGTAATCGCAGTTGTAGAAACATCAACAATAGTAATAACAGTAGAAGCAAGAGCAGTATAATAATACATAATGATAACCCGCACATTAGTAGCAGTGTAGCAGACAGGCACATAACAACTTCAGGAAAACGGCAGTTGTATAAGAAGTACATGACAATCAGCAGTAGTAGAAGTAATTGCTCTGCATGATAAGGTACATGACAAGATCAGCAAGATTAGAATCATTAGCTTTATACGGAAAATACATAGCAACAGTACCAGTAGTAGATATAGTAGCTGTGCACGAAATCACGAACCTACACGGCAAGTAGGAACGCCCAACCCGCGCCCACCCCACGCCCACCCCACGCCCACCCCACGCCCACCCCACGCCCACCCCGCACCCAC